GCGAGCAGTTAACTACCACCTCAATTTGCTCTTTAAGTTGAGTTGTTCAGGGTTTTATTAAAGAAAAATTTAGAACTGCACATTTTGTTGTACAGTCACAACATGTCATATGGTGAAATCAGGGACGTAGCAAAGCATCTGAAGTTGGGGGGCAGGGTGTCAGAGAATTTTACCTGAGATTTGAATTTCAATTGTTAAAAATTTACCTAAAGTGTAAATTATAATGAAGCTTTCTGTGATTGAGAAAAGGGAGGTCTGTCTGGGGTCCTCCCCTACAAAATTTTACATATTTGAAGCTCTAGGACTTAGACATGTTTCCATACACATATGCAGGTAAGTTTCCCGATTTTGCCAGTTGTTTCCTGTCTTACAGTTCTTTATCTGACCGCAGCACCGTACGACTGAGCCCAGTCACACATGGAATGATGATGAGCCCAGTCACACTCTTGATATTGGATACCATGACTTTGGGTTAATGTAGTAGACAGCTGACTAGTTAGTTGTCCTTTTTGGAGCTTCTTTAAGGGCTTTCCCAAAATTACGGGAGTACTGCAAAACAGAGTACAATAGCTCCTTCAAATGAACAACAGCATGGATATTTTCAACATCAAGTGTCATGCAACTGAGTGAATTAGTCACTGTGCAATTCCAGGGAGAAATATTGTGTTGTAGCTGTTCAAGTCCCCATTTCATCAGTGCTACTGAATCTACAATTTGGGCACCAACGTTTCCTTCAGGATCATTCAATTATTTCAGTGCCTTGTCATAAGAGTTTAGAATCATAGACATTGAAGGGCCATCTTGATTTCCAGGACAGTTGAAATGAGCAGCAAACAATTCCATGTCGCTGCCAAATGAGCAGGACATAATTCTTTGTTTTTCAGGATCAGCAAAATTATTCCATCTTTGTATGCAGCAATAGTGTTGATGGAAAGTACTTCTTTTGACAGCATTTCTACAATTCGGGATTGGTTTTCCAAACTCAACCAGGGAGACAACATCAAAATCCCCTTAGTATGTGCAACAAATAATTTGGTCCCATTAACACAGATGGAGTTCACCACAATCCAGTCGATTTCTCAGCAAAAGTTCTTCTTTACCTCATACTCCAACACCATCAGGCTCTAAACTAATACTGTATTTACTTGTTTGAGTGCCACCCCAATTGAGCGCTGCCCCAAACAAGTGCCGCATTTTGAGATCAATTTTTTTAAAGAGTGCCGCCCCAGAATGAGCACCACACTAATCATTTTCCTGGGATTGCCTATTTCAATGTGACAAATTGAACTTGCAGTTCGACTCAGGTCATGAAGAGTACAGTGACATTGATATTCCACTGTCAAAATGGGGATATTTAGTGACAAAGGCATTTTAATGTTAAAAGTTCTAGTTATAATTCACAAACAAACAAAAAAATTAAGCAAGTAAATACAGTACTTACAATACTAAGCTTTGACTGAATTAAAGCATATATCACTTTGTTATCAAGTACATACAAAACCTCAAAACCTTTTCTAAGTCTCAAATATTAACTTCATCTAGTTGCAAATTTCTTCTTGCATATTCAGCTTCCAAGGTGTGCAGGTACTTTTCTAAGGCACCCCTTCAAAATCTTCACCAAGCCAGTGGTAGAAAATTTAAATTCTGGTAGTTTCTCTGATAGTTGCTTATGTGTGACCAGACTCTTTATTTTCACTGTTAACGTCCCCTGATTCAATTCGACGAACAAAATGGGAGTATTTGGACCATAAAGGTAAACTATGCCATTACAATTGATTAATGTACCTTGCTGGTGAAGCTTCCTTCAGTGTAACAAATTTCTGGACAGGAATGTGCAGGCGAGTCATCACAAGTTTTGAGCATCTCTTATTGGAATCCCAACAAACAACCAATGGCAATGCTTATTGGGTGAGGAAAGGCACCAATCTTGTCTAATTCTGGAATGAGTGTGTGCCCAACAAATCCAAGCTGTAGGAATTTTTTGTTAGAGCTTCCTTAGTTAATTTTAGAACTGTCATGGGATCCTGTCTGTCTTTATTTTTAACATGATTATGTTTTTGTAAATATTTTTTCATTTTTGACTTCACTTCAATAGAAGATCTATTTCTCAGTGTAAAAAGAAAGGATAAATTTCCTTGTTCATTTTGAAATTAAAGGAACCAGTTGCCAAAGCTGGCTTTCAAACTCTTGCCCATGTGTGGGCAATCTGGTAAAGGAACAAGCAATATATCCATCTTCAATACATTTTTTATTTCCAACATTGCTTGTTATTTCCTTCTTCACACTCTGTTGTGAAGACTGTCATACACTGATAAGCACATTGTGTACCTTTCTCGATACAAGCTCTTCACTGGAAATATGACTAACTTGCCCTTCCTCTTTACATGGGTCACAAATAGTCCAGTCCTGGCAGACGAATTTGCATGCACATGTGTCAGACTGTCCAATAAAAATACTTGTGATCAACTTCCAGAAAAGGGAAAACTCTTGCACCTGTTCAACACTCAAAAATGTAACAAATCAAAAATCAATATGTTGACCGACATGCAATGTTGAATTTGCAAAGTATTGTGTTCTGCAAGAAGATATGTTTTATACAATATTCAAGGGATTATACGGCAACAGCTTTGCTGTTTTTCAAAGCGTACAATATGTCAATCAGACAAGATAAGCCCAAGCTGTCTCATCAATGCGAGCAGGAATAATGCGAGCAGGAATAATGCGAGCAGGAATAATGCGAGCAGGAATAATGCGAGCAGGAATAATGCGAGCAGGAATAATGCGAGCAGGAATAATGCGAGCAGGAATAATGCGAGCAGGAATAATGCGAGCAGGAATAATGCGAGCAGGAATAATGCGAGCAGGAATAATGCGAGCAGGAATAATGCGAGCAGGAATAATGCGAGCAGGAATAATGCGAGCAGGAATAATGCGAGCAGGAATAATGCGAGCAGGAATAATGCGAGCAGGAATAATGCGAGCAGGAATAATGCGAGCAGGGCTGTAGGAAAAGTAAAAACCTTCAAAGCATTTCCAGCCTTGCCCAAAGTCAATGCCATTACATCTCCTATATCTCTGCCATCTAAAGTAGTGTGAGTGGAACAAACAAGTTCAAAATTCCCAGGCAGATCACTTCAGTTTTCCCAGAATCATGATCAAATTTGTTGAGATAATTATTTGAGTGTTAGATTGTTCATAGTTATATATTAACTATAGATTGTTAAAATGTTGTTTGCATGCCATGTTGCAGCTATTTTTACATCATATATAAAAAACCCAACCATTTTGCAACTGTATAAACTAACATTGTTGCTCAAAATATTCCTATTAAGTTCGTAAGAATTATTTTTGTACAAGAAGGATTGTTCGTGTCTCAAATGTAAGTTTATATTGTTGCTGGTACAAACTTGTCAATCAAGGATAATAGTAACTTTGTCTTGTTACAATAATTAATTAGGATACTTAGAGTTAGATAATTCCAATTTACTGCAAAGTTAAATGGAAAATATTCAAAAAAAGAAAGATATACAATTCACATGATGAAACCAAAGCCAGTCAAAGAGTGATTCTCTGCTTGTGTTTTACTGTGTGGTGGGCTTTCTTTGTTTTAAATATACTGGCCACAATTCTAAATGTTTGTTATTTTAATTCTTTTGACCAAACCAATTTAATTCAGCTGAAACAATATCAAGTTGGACAAACACCTCTTTCTTCATCCCTGCTTTTGGAGATGAACATAGCACCTGGTCAGACATTTACTAATATACTTGTGATATCTACTTCACCTTCAGCTACATATTTATATTGTCCCCAAGCTGATGACGCTGTGCCGTGCAAGGGTACTAATTCCCCCCGGCTATTTACACCCGGGGAAACGAAAGCATTAGCAAAGTCTAAAGTTCATCAATGATCATGGGCGTGCTCACCAACGGTGTTGAGTGGGTGGTCATCACTGATCTCAAAATATGGCTGTTTGCCAGGAGTGAAGAAGGCAAAAAATATAAAAAATACATGTAAGAAAGCTTGGAAAATCGTTTCATGTACATAACAAATTGTACAACTTTTTTGCAATTTTTAAACGTAAACATTGAAAAGAATTGATATTGTATGATAAATCCTAAAGTATAGCGCAAGTTAGTTTGTTTCAATAGACCTTACGCCTAATGACGTCATAAACGTTAACGCGCGCGCTGAATTCTGGTCTTAATAGTCAAATTCCGTAAATTCCAAACAACAAAAATGGCGGGCTTGTTCGCTGGAAATACCGATACTTCATGTGCTTTTTTTGAAAATGAAATCATTCTTCGTGACCCTAGTTCTTCTAAGAACTCTTGTACGGGTGGTCAAGGTGATGTTCAAGCAAAAATGGGAGCCTCTGGAAGGGATGTATGTCATAGTGAGTCCTCTGAAGTTCGGCCAATATCGCCTGTTGTTAATATGTTCAGACTAGACGAAGACGAAGTTGATTTAGACGACGATGCAGCAAGTTTTCCGCACAGCGAAACCAAAGGATGGACAAAATTACTGCAAGATATTCCTCCGTTTACCCACCAAAAATTAGAAAATAAAATGGTGAATAACAGCCGCACAATGTCTGACAAAGTAGCGCCAAAGGCTCATAGGAACATGAAGAAAGGATATGGTCTTTGGAAAGAATGTTATGTCAATAATATTCAAGTCAAGGCAAACGTCCAATGTAAAATTCAACTATTTCTGGTTAAAGCTAGTTAGTGCATCCATGAAGAGTATAAGTTACCCTGTTTATGTTCATTTAGACCAGAAGAGTGGCGAAGTCGAGTATGCAAAGTGCACTTGTAAAGCAGGGCAAGGTGGCTGTTGTAAACACGTTGCTGCTTTGCTTTACACTCTGTTGGATTTTGTTAACTTGAGTTTAAGTATGATTCCTGAAGACCTTACGTGTACACAAGTCGCTCAAAAGTGGAGTATTCCTTCTGGCTGCCGTAAAAATTGAACAAAGCTGTTAAGTTTGACGAACTGTTGTTTCAGAAAGCACAATACAACAAGACCAATAAAAGAATGCATTCAAGTACTATCAGAGAGAAGTATTGTAGCACACCACCTTATGCCCAGACTGTCACCAAAGACGATATACAATCAATGGCGAATGTACTTAGGGAAGGTGAAAGAGCTTCACTACTTTGTGACACACTTGAATCAAACAATTATGAGCCATGTGATATGTTTGAAACATCCTGTGCAAAGGCTCAGAGGACAAAGTCTAAGTTGGATCTAGAAACAGTCGAATCAAATACTGGCAAGCTATTGGTTGACAAAGTTTTTACCTCTGTACCATGTGAGCTTGACCAGACTGTTAAATTGGGTTCGGATGAAAAGAAACTAATGGAAACCTTAGTGTTTGTAACACCTGAGCAAGCTAAGGACATCTGTTTAAAAACTATAGACCAAAGTTCCAGTGCACAATGGTATGTTGAGAGATCAGTTCGTATAACTGCATCTGTATTCGGGAAGGTGATGAGTAGGTGAAAGACAGTTGAACCAAATTCGATTGTAAGAACGATCACTGAGAAAACTAAATGCCAAAGTTCTCGTATGCCAGTTTCTCTACAATGGGGTATTGAGAATGAGTCCAATGCTGTAGAAAAATACAAAAACTTGAGAAATAAAGAAAATTTGGAAGTGAAAAGCTGTGGTCTAGTGGTAAGTCCGAGATGGCCATGGCTTGGCTGCAGTCCTGATGGCATTGTTGTGGAAGGTGATACGGTAGTTGGATGTGTGGAGATAAAGTGTCCATACTCAAAGAAGGACATGACAGTACTTGATGCTGTCAAAACACTACCTCTGGCCTCAAGCTGAAGGACAAACATGAATATTTCTACCAGTGCCAAGGGACAATGAACATTTTAGGACTGCCCTGGCTTGACTTTGTCATATATACTAACATTCATGTCCAAAGATTGCATCAAGACTTTAGTCTCTGGGAGAAGAAAATGGTACCAGAGCTAACACATTTTTATTGCTCATTTATTCTTCCTATTTTAGCACCTAAATAAAAAAAATAAAAATCTACTAGTAATGTATGGTGCTGTAAAATGGGGTGAATTGGGACAAGTGTGAATGAACTGAAACAGGGACAATTGCTCCAATTCACCATTGTCTCAAGTCACTCCCCTTCCCAAACATTCAAAGAGAGAAGGGGATTCAACTCCTACTTCTCTCTGGGTGAGGTGTGAATGTTTTCTGACATTATAGACAATTGCTTAGCATATAAACAGCATTTAAACTGAAGATACTGAAAACCACTGCAACAATTCCTGTTTTTGTGTTCATTAGTGTCTTTTATGTATGCTTTATTGTCAATTTCAACTTAGTTTTCACTAAAATGGGTCATTCCAGAAAACATACATACCTCGCCCACAGAGGAAATTGGAAGTTAACCCCCCTAATAGTAAGTGTATTAGGACATCCAAAGGGGGTATCAGAAACAATTTTTTCTCCCCTCCGGAGGACAGAAATTTCCTCGGTGAGGGGAGTGTGGATCTTTTCTGGAATATGACCCAAAGTTCATAATGAAATTTACAAATTGGTTTGTAAACAAAACCTCTGATTGGCTACTAAATCAAACCAGCCAATCAAATGCTCAGTTTAAAAACCGATTTGTAAATTTCATTATCAGCTTTTGAACTTTGCAAAGAATTTGCGAAGTTCGGAACATTTTAGTGGAAACTAAGTTGAAATCGACAATAATTCTTGTTCAAATCAATTCCATACGTCCATTTTTCAATACACTCTCTAAGTATTAACACTATTATTCTGGATTATTTATTAAAGGTGGCAAAAAGTTTGTCAAATATGAAGGAGGGATATTGAGAGAAACACCCAGCGGCATATCACCTTCTATCTCAAAGCCTTTATCAGCCATGACAGAGTCGCCTTCTTCTAACAAATTTAGAATTCCACAATCCAATGTTATTTGTTTATCACTGCTTTGCCCAGCATAAAGTTCTGATACAAATGATACAGCTCCAGAAGGACTGATTCCAACCAGTCCTTTTGCAGTATTGTGGTGTTTATAGTTAGAATATGTAGCACTTTGGCTTCTGAAAGAGCTTGGTGTTTCTAGAAATATTTCAGTGCAATCAATGATTACTCAGGTTGATGGGTACATTTCTTTGAATGCTGTTGGCATGTTTCGATCAACAGAAGATCTTGATGGCCATATAGGGATACACCGAAACCGAGAGTGCAAAAAATCCAACCATGTGATAATTATCCTCGACATGTATGTCTGAGAAATTCCAGCCCTTACAGCCAGGTCCTCTTCCAGCAGTCCTAGACGAAGGCGAACTAATACCAAGAAAAATTCTTGCTCGGGTGAGAATGATCTTTTAGGACCATGTTTCATTGCATCACTGGATGTAAGATTGTCAGGATTTGTATTACTGCCATAATAAATAAGATTGTTTACTGCTTTTCCAAGGCTGTCAAACAGTGCTTTAAAAGTGGCATAATCCTGAAGTCCTGAATAAAACCTGATCAGTTTGTCATCATGTTTAAAATTTTCAACAGAGAAAGTCATTTTATTTTGTTCATGTTTAATTTCCTCCTTTAATTGAATAACTTGAATATTATATTGCTCGTTTTCAGCTTGAAGTCTTTTGTTTTCTTTTGTTAGCAAAGCAATCTTTTCCTCAAGAACACTTGATTCCTCGACTGTTTGTTTGCCAGCTGCAGGCATAGTTTCAGAATCATTTGGATCAATATTTTCAAGGTTTGAATTTGCATCTTCCTCAATCTCGGAAAATAAACGGCGTCTACTCTGTGGTATTGTTCCATTAGCATTGTTCTGTTTTGAAACGAATGTCCGGTTCCTGGCTTTTACAGTCGGTCTTGGATTGCAGGGTTTAGGCCACCTTTGTTACTTGCAAACTAGGTACAATGGTTGGCAAATTATTTGTATAAGTTTTCTTGCCTCCAGAAAAGTGCTCTGAACAAACTCTGTGACCTATCGTTGGCGTAAAATTTACCCGGGGAAATCAAGCGTATCCATTTCTTTCGAAGTTCTACTGATTCTTTGCTTTTTCATTTGGAAAATTGCAGAAGGAAAGCTCGGGACTTTGTTTGTTGTTGTTGAAACAACCAGCGACACAGCAGGTGAAGCCGCCACTAGATTTCGATTTTTTCGATGTACAGTTGGAATTCTCATCAATATTTTTAGAGCTAGTTAACATTCGTCCACCCGGGCAAGAGCTCTGAAAAGAACTGGGGCTTTCATTTGCCAGCGTAGCGTCTAAAAGATCGCGAACAACTTCAGCACAAGTGAGCTCAACATTTCGTGTTGACTCCATGTTTTTGCCTTTTTGGAATTTATGGAATTTGACTACTAAGACCATAATTCAGCGCGCGCGTTTAACCTTTATGACGTCATAAGGCGTAAGGTCTATTGTTTATGTATGACTTTGTATTTAACTTTCCAACATGTATACCTGATGCTATACATGTTGGAAAGAGTTTGAAGTGTTCATTTTGCAACTGGTACATTCTTCTTAACGGTCAGCGTTCAAATTTAGCCATTCTGAGAACATTGCGAGATGATAGTGATCCCGAAACTAGGAAGTTGTTTAGAAAACTTCTTAAAGACGGTGATGCAGTACGAAACAAGGATCGCATGGCAGTTGACGCCATTCTTGACCTTATGGCTGAAAATTTTATTCGTGCTGTTGAAAATGTTGAGTTTGCCGTTCATGCTCTTGTGCCTGAGCGATTCAAGTTTACAGAAGATAATAACGTTGGTGCTTTTCCTCACCCGGTGGATATTACAAACGCAGGCAGTGGAATTTTGTTTATGTTAGATTTTGCTCCTTTGAAGGAACATAGTAAGCTTGTTTGCATAATCCAGTTCGTTTAACAGTAATGAAAGAAAAGCTACCCAGCGCTAAGTCATTGTGTGTGACCAATGGTTTTGTGTTTGTTTGTTCTGCCGATGGTATCATTGTGGTAGAACACACAAGTCAACTATCTATCAAAGTCCAGTCTCTTAGGAAAGCTGAACTTATTGTCGAACTTACGAAGAGAGGCGTTGAAGCCACTGGAAATGTCACTCAGCTCAAGAACAAATTGAACTTAGAAAATGAAAAATTACGAGCTCAATATGCTTCTGTCAAAAAGCGGACGGATATTGTTCATCTAAATAAAGATATCCATACGGTTGACTGTTTAAGTTCAGCGTCAGATGAAATCCTAATTGTAGGTAGCAACGTTGATCAAAAAGTTTACCAAGTTCTTATAGAGAAGGATGGTGTGGGTCTCGTTGGCAGTGTCACACAGAGTTTCACTTACCCTCAGAATGACATCAAGGTTGTTAGCATGACCACTTCCACTGGCAGTCTTTTCTTTTCGTCAGTGGGACCTCAAGGCCAAGACGACTATGGAGGGCTTTTCCAAGTGAACCTCGAATCTAATTTGCCTACGTGTTTGGTTCGAAACTCACCAAATTGCGAAGTACATGGAATTGCTCCATACAAGAACGGGATTGCCTTTTCTGATATTAAGACAAACCAAATAAAGCAGTACCATTGTTTGTCTGGTGTATCCATCTTAGCAGGAAATGGTAAAGAAGGAAACGTGAAGGGAAATGCCAAATTTGCTAGTTTTATGCAGCCAGCTGGTCTTTGTTCCGAATTGGATACCAATCTGTTTCTCTGCAATTCCCAAAATGGAGAAGTTGTTTTAATTACGGGACTGCAAGGAACATGTGAATTTCTTTCATCCATTGGGAAAATGTTTCGAGCATTTTCTATCCATAAGAAGCACAATTTCCTAGCACCATTACCAACTGTCGGATTACATCACATTGTCCGTTGACAAAGTAAAGGCGCTTACTGGAAAGAATACCACAAATGGCCCAGATGGAACTGTCTCTTCAAAAACTCTTACTTCCGTTCAAATGGTTGCAGATGGTGTCCAAAAATTAAATGAAAACATCCAGATATTGAATAAAGATTACCAAATAGATATGGCAAGTTGTATGACCGGTCAAGTGGAATCGATTCATTCCACGCATCACCACAAGCATCAAGCAGGTGCCCATGTTATTAATTATGCCAGGTCATTTGGGAACACTGGGACCCTTCCGCTTAATATGTACGAAACCCACAATCCAGTTGGCCAAAGGATACAGTTTCACCAAGTAGATGATCTAGATGGGCTTGCTGGCTTTGATGAAGTCGATGAATGCCGGAATGGTCAGGATGGACAAGATGAGTACAGCGACGAGAGTGGTTCTAGTGATACGGAGGAAAGAGAGTCAAGCGGCGAAGAAGGTGAAACAACATTGTCATTTTTAAAAACAACTCGTTCAGGACGTTCTATTACTATAAACAGAAGCCTCTTTTCCACATAGTTGGAGGTCTTGGAGGTTTGAAAGCATTCCGAGGTAAGTACAGATGAGTACAATGATTCTACAATTAAGGAAGACATCCTATAATAATTCGTGAATTTTGTTTTATTTTTACGTGAATCGTGATCGCTTAGATTTTCCGTGAACGTGAAGGAATTTTTTCAATTTTTCGTGACTCGTGAAAAGGCAAAATATTTTTACGTGAAAGCATATTGTGAAGGGGTATAGGGGGCCCTCAAATATTAATCAAGATTAACCAGACTGAAACATGCACTATTACCAGTAAATAAATGTCACTTGACAAATTGTTTATTATGAAACAAAGTATATTATTATCTACAAAATACAAGCACAATTTATTCGTCCGAAATCCGCGTGTGTTCCTAGCACGAATACGTTTCTTATTTCATGAGACCACTGCATCACGAAGGATCATCATGGATCATTCGTAGTTCTGAATTAGGGCATGCTGTCACAATGGAATTGTAAGCTCTTCTAACTTCTGCAACGTTCTGAAATATTGTTAAGAACACCAAAACTCTTTTGCCTTTTCTTAACTCCTTCTCAACAGGCCGGTTTCGCATTACATTTCGATTCAATTTTTCTAATATCTCGGCGAGTATTTACCCCCCTTTTAAATAAATGCCACCATTGAAATCCTCATAAAATAACCTTTCGAACGGGGGGTCAAGTGCCGTCAAAACATTACACAAAGCGAAACAATCATATATTTACTCACCGCTTGGCCAAAGATTCTAAATTTCATATCCACAAGATCTTGAATACCCCTTGAACTTTTCGTCATTTGCTGAACGGCTATATGTGTAAAATACTCTCTGTAGTCAAGCGCTTTCGTGTAGAAAGTTTCGTATGTATACGCCGACTAGAAATATTTATTTTGAATTTTTCAAGATGTCGGGTTTTACTCGCACTTGCGTACATTGCGCAATAATTGGCCAATAAGAAGCTCCTTTGGCCGGGATGACGTCAAACTCAGGCGGGTAGGTGCAATTTGACCTTGCGAATCCATTTCTGGCCTTTCCAGGGTCATACGATACAAACGCCGCATTGTTTTGACGGTTTTCAGTCGTATTTCCGGTTGGGATTAATTCACTTCGAGCTCACAGTCGGACAAGAAATGGAAATATATTGATAAAAGATACAGATTTGTAGATTCAGGGTTGCAAATAACACTCCAAAAAGACTATTTAATGGGGATTCGAACAAGACTATTACAAAGATGATATGTTCGATGGGGCCGAAGTTATTTTCGGCGAAAGGTATGGGTAGTCTATAATAATCTGTATTTTTGTTCAGGCAATTGCATAATTTGATACAATATGATCATTTTGACTTTCAAAGGCCCATAAATCGTTACAATACTAATGACTATAACCATCGTTTGGAACTAGTTGATATTTTATTTCTGAATCGAATGGTGGTATTTCTGTCTTCATAGCATGCACTGAACCGAAAGTATGAAATTTCGAGAGAAACATACTGACTCAGTTGGTTAGTCGCGTCAAAACACCTAGCTATACTATAGTTCTCGCAAGAATATTTGTTTGTTGAATATGTTCTATTATAAAATGCTTTCATATTATATTTGTGTATGATGTATTTTTGAGATATTCATATATAAACACATAGTTCCATTTGACAATATATATAGCAGATTTAGCTACAGTGCAATCATACCTGCGAAGTATACTACAGCCTACTACAGTTTATTATTTAAACTGTGCAAGATCAGTAACCGCATAAAATAATAGTAACATACAGTATACTAGTGATTTAAATTACTTAAGATACACAGCTTTCCCTGAAACAGATTTCATGTCTTTACGCACACTTAATTTTATCATTTAGTTACAATTCCAAACGTTTTTCATGATGGTTTTCCGTAGATCATAGTACATCTACCACTATATATCAGATTACCAAGGCATGTTGTCTTTAATAGCGAGAAAACGGCTCCCTCATCTCCGCTTAAATAAAGGCATGTGCAACTGATTTCTTTTGTAAACTATAACTCAGTCTTCTGTAGTTTTATTAATGTAAATAAAACTTGCGTAAGGCACACAATAAGCTTTTATCGAAGTCAAGACGCGTAGCATGAGGTGAAGTAAACAAATATGAACCTCGCGTGACTTGCATGACAGATCTCCTTGGCTTCTATGAGTTAAAGAACAAAACTTTTCCCCCAAATCTATCAGGTAGTGGTCTCTGTGTGTTGCACACTCCTGGATGTCCTTTATTTCGATCACAGTTTGACTTTTATGGCAATAATCTATCGAACTAAAAAGGCAACACAGCGGGAAGTGAAGCAACAACGTGGTGCATCATGAACGCGTATAAAATGCAAGTGCGTTCGTCAAAGAGACTTTTTCACACACCTTTCTCCGGCACTGCTATCCATTTATACTTGTTAAATAAATGCTATTCTTCAACTTTGCCTTGAAAAGTTTCACCGAAATCAAGTTTCAACAAAAATATTTTTAAAAAACAAGGAAAAATGCCGAATTCTTAGCTATTTCTGCTAATAATTCCGGCAATGCTCCGAATTCAGGAGGGTTTTCAAGGGGGGATTGTAGGCCATGCACGTGCGATGCTGTGGGACCCCTAGACAGTACAATTTGTCCTTCTCGGCATGATTCTCATCGCTCAGAAGGCGAAAATACATGGCCACAACAACACCAACATTTTACCGTTTTCAAATAACCATATAGGTCATTTGTGCGCACGAGCTAATAGACGGTTCGATGTAGTACAGATTGAGCAAGTATCGTTTGAGTATGAGTTTTCCAACCAGAAGTTAACCTTGCACTATAGTCCCTGATAATCAAACCAGCTGATCTTCTGGGACTGGTCAAATCAACTAAGCTGTTTTGCAACATTTGTTTCCCACCAATACTGGAGCAGAATATTTTCCCCCCAGTTTGTTAGTGCAGGTATTTTTTTGTTCAGAATAGCCTTGCATGTTAAATGGTCAGCCACTTTACAGGGGGTTATCAGATTAAATCACTTGGAGCTATGTACGTAATATGTTACTAATAATGAAAATGAGGCTGAATAACCATAGTTACAGGATAGCCAACCACAATAGAGATGTCAAGGTTAGCAAATTACAATAGTGATCTTTGCTGTTCAGTCTTGTTTTCAAGATCAGTGATGTAATTACCAAAAGGGTCTAATAACCATGAGCTTTATAACCACATACTAATGCTTTATAAACATATACTAATGCTTTATAAACATATACAAATGCAGCAGCACACCAGATGTTTCATTCTGTTTAATTAAAAATGGGCTGATTTCAGGTGAATAATCCCTGAGCCAATGGCACGGAGCGCCGTTCCAGGCATAAGCCCGGGGCGAGGGTACTAATTCTGTCCGGCTATTTACACCCGGGGAAAGGAACGCACTAGCGAAGTCTAAAGTTCATCAAATATTGTGGGTGCATGGCTATGATCCAAGGGTGATCCTCCCCACTGATCTCAAAAGTACAGCGGCTTGTCATGGAAATGGCAAATACTGACTGGTCAAATTTAAATTTCGCTTGTTGATGATCGCATTGCGACATCATAATAACAAACACCTTTTGAAAATATATCTGCTTTTTTAAAGATTTGCAAATTCACAAGCTACTTTTACATGTTGTATACTTTTAAAAGCTTTAAAAAACCATTATGCATACAACAAATTAAACAAAAGATATGGAGCCAAATGAAAAGCAACAAGAAGATGGGAAAAAATCAGACAGGCTGGCCAAAAGAAGGGAGCAAAGACGCCGACGTTTGCTCGAGGAGAAGGCCGATGAAAAAGAAACTCACTTGGAAAACCGTAGAGAAGCTTGGAAAAAAAGGACTGCAGAAGCTAAAGGTAAGCAAAAAGAGTATCATAGGTTGTATTATATAGAGAAAATGCAGAATGAGACTGAAGAATGAACGAAAAGGCTTCAAAACACGAGACAACGACGAGCGTCAGAAACTGCTGAATCAAGAGCTAGTAGACTTGAGAAATTACGATCGTATTTATAAACAGCTGTTGCTAATGAGAGCGAACAAGATCGACTGAACAGGCTAGCTAAGAAGAAAAGTGCAGCAAAAGAATTAAGACACAATAGTATACAAATAGGAGATGAAGCAATTGAGGTAAGTGTACCTGTTTTTGAAATGAATGGAAGTATTAGGAATAACTGTTTCTGTGCATGAAGCTATGAAGGAAACTGTATCTGGCCCTGATGTTGGGGCAGAAAATGAATGTGTTCATGAAGCCACATGTGAAAATGTATCCGTTTCTGCAGCAGTGGAGGCGACTGCATCTGTTACTGAAGCAGTGGAGGCGACTGCATCTGTTACTGAAGCAGGTGAGGAGAGTGAGTCTGTTAATGAAGCAGAGGGTCAGAGGCGAGTAGAAATGAATATTTACATGAGGGTGGTTGGCAAAATGTTGACAATCCTCTGCATGAGCTAGAGTTTGTACAAAATGAAATGCACAGTTTTCATGTAGATCAAGAACATTTAGAGCATCGACGATGTACAATATGTAAAGAAGCTTGGCCAATATGCCAGAACTTGGCATCAGAAGTATTCATTTGTTACCGGTGTAAAAGAGACAAGAAATTACCCAAGAAATTTAGTGCCAAGAATGACATGGACCCAGGAACAGTTCCTGAACAATTGAGAGGTTTGACACAGGTAGAAGAAATGTTAATTTCAAGGGTTTGTCCCATTATGAGAGTGTATAGAAAACATGGGGGTCAGAGGGGGTATAAAGGACATGTACTTAACTTACCACAAGATATTCAAAGTTTCTTGAATAGGTTGCCTTCACGTGTGGCAGACTTGCCTGTTTTGATTGTGCGAAGACATGGTGCAGAAGACGCACATCAAGACTTTACTGTGCGTCGACACAAAGTCCTCGAGGATGTGTTATGGTTAAAGACAAACAATCCATTCTTTAAAAATATCAAAATTGATAGAGATGTCATCCAAAGTTTACCAGAAAATGGTATTCCCAATGAGCTAAGGTATGTCATTGATGAAAATGAGCTTTCAGTTCATGTTGAAAATAAGGGGCCTCCCCAAGGAAGGAAAAATCGTTTAATAGCTAACACAGATTGCAGTCTGTATGACTGAATTACATGTGAGCGAAATAGAATGTATATAAAATATGTATAATTATCGACATAATCTTTAACTATTTCCTAATTGAACTATAGTAAAAACCCTAATATTGCTATATAGTCATTATTTTATTTATCAGCCATGTACATGCTGTGACTGATAATAAATGATTTTTTAAACCGATCTGTTTTACAAATTGGAGTGTTGAAGAGTCTCGTATTTCTTAAAGACTTGTTGTGGCTTGACTTGGGTGGTAAAGGTTCGGCCAGCTTGTGGTTTTTATCATTTAATAGCAATATCTTTAAACAATTTACGAGATAAGAGTTCGCATCTGGAGTGCAATGTGGTGATATTAGCTTTGGCTAACGCTTCTCCATATTTTAAACCAGGGTAGACGATTCGCATAGCATGCCTTTGAATGTGTTCAATTTCGTCGGACAGGTAGTTGGGAAGACTTTGGTGGAACACCTGACATGAGTACTCTAGGGTTGATCTAATAACATTACAATAGAATAGGACAAGATCATTATGGTTGATTCCTGCTCCTTTGAGCTGCTTTAAGAGGTATAAGCGTTCGGAAGCTTTGGTGGTAATAACTTCTACGTGATCGTTCCATTTAAGATCATTCCTTACCGACATCCCTAGAATTTTGGCCGAAGGTAGTCTCTCAAAGTTTAGTCCATTTAGTTCTAGTTGGGCATAAGACGTAGGTGTTCTCTTAAAGCAGGTTAGGATTTCTTTGCACTTGGATGGTTTTAGTTCGAAGCGATTTTCCTGGGACCAGATGTTGATGTGGTTGACGGTTGTACCTTGTGCGACTCCTGCAGGGACATTAAGCCAGTCAGAGTAGCAGTTCCCATTTAACTTAACTCATTGTTGTCTGTTCCGTAAAAAGTCGATAATCCAATTAACAGTGGTTGGCTTAAATCCCAGGCTGAACAGTTTGGAAATCAGTATTTGGTGGTCGACCAGGTCAAAAGCTTTCCGGAAGTCGAGAAGTGCAGTTCTTATGGTTGCACCAGTGCCGACAGTAACATGTAACCAATGATGTAACATGGAAACAAGAGCAAACGTTGTTGAAGAGCGAGGTATGAAACCATATTGGCAAGGATCAAGGGCGGGTAACATGACAGGTTTCACAGACTTTTTGATTACAAAGCTCTCAGCGATTTTCGACAGTGTTGATGTTAGAGATATCGGCCTCAGATCTTTATTACAATCGGAGATGGTAGAAGCTTTGGGTAAAGGCGCAATAGCAGCGAGTTTCCATACGCGGGGGTTATTCTTGTCAGTAATAGGTTCTGCTAAGATGCAGCACTGTGTGGGACAGTATTGATATGACGCTAGCCGATCAACTCCAAAAGTTGCAAAATTATGCAGCTCGTATCATTACTGGAGCCCCATAGAGAACCGTTCACACATGCGATGTTTTTTCTGATTTGGGTTGGTCAACCCTGGCAAACAACTGCAAAGTTCAGAAAGCTATGATGATGCACAAAATTATGAATGGAAACTCTCCTTCATATTTATCTGAAATGTTTGAGAAACAGTCTGGCTCAACTACTTATGACTTGAGGTCATCTGATTTAAGTGTTCAGATACCTAATGTTCGAACTGAATGTTATAAAAAAAGCTTTGCAGTTTCTGCGGCTTTTCTTTGGAACTCCTTACCAAATGAACTTAAAGAGAAGAAAATTTTATCAAAATTTAAAACACAAATTAAGAAACATAACTTCTGCATTGACAACCTGTAAATTCACTATTCCACTGTAAATATAATTTGTATCTATTACATATTCACATCTATTATATTTGATCTACATAAAATGTAAATATAGTTCTGTTAAAAAATACACAGCTTCTAGGTAGACCAGACTTAATAATTTCACATTTGTAAATATTATTTCTGATAGAACCACCGTGTTTAAATAAAATTATCTAATCTAATATGTTCGGTTACGGATATTGGCTTGTCATCGTCTATTGGCACTTGTACACTATCAGTCAAAGACAAGTAATCCTTCATTGTATTAATCCTTCTCGTCGCATATCAGGTCAGGGTGTAAGCATGTCTTTAGGTCATTTCCAGTTCGCTTGGTAGTCCCACAGAGCTGTTTAACGTCTCTCCACCAATTGCGGGGTTTAGTATTGCGGAGGTCTTTAACTTTTTTCTCATAGTAAACTTTACGGCAATGTTTGCGCTCACAATTAACTTTATTCCTTAGGATCTTAAAAAGATCTCATCTTTGGAAGAGGGCTTTTTGACGGCGGACAATAAGGGATTTTAATGGTTTTGTCAGCCAAGGTCTATCATTCTCGTGAACTTTCACAGATCTTACAGGCATGATGGTATTCAATCCATAGTTGACAATTTCTGTGAGGATTTGTAACTTTGTGTCACACAAATGATTATGGGAGAACAGAGCAGACCAAGGCACATCAAGTAGAAATCGGCGAACACTTGCTTTTTTACTAGGTCGTTTGTCTCTCGTGGTAATGAATTTATACTTTGGTTTAGAAGATTTGTCACAAATTCCAGCATTAACAGACACCTTCATATGATCTGATAGACCAAAAGGGGGCAACCTCGGCATAGAGTAGTAGTCGGATATATTGGTAAAAATTTGATCGAGGATATTGTTACCTCTCGTTGGAAAATCAATAATGGGTTTTAGCTGATGTGTCCTTGCGGTGGTTTGGATCATAGGTAGGAGCGACTTGTTAAAATCTCCTGTTATTATTATTGCACTGTTTGGAAACTTTGATTCCACCAACTCTAATGACGAACTCAGATGGTCTTTCATGGATACGTCGTGCGCATCGGGAGGATGGTAAACTACGCCAACTATTACATTCAAAAAGCCGCGTGGTAGACAATTTGGTCTAAGGTTTACCCATAAAGTTTCATGGTCGGCGTTATGGAAGTCAGATAAAACCATACACTGAATAGAAGTCTTAACATATAAACAAACACTCCTGTGAGGTCGATTTGCACGATCACATCTAAAAAGTTGATATCCATTTATGTTGACAAGTTCATCTGGCACATGTTCTTTCAGCCCAGTTTCGGTAAAAGCAGCAATATCTGGTTTGATAATGTCAATAGTATGAGCAATTTCGTCAATCTTTGGCATCAATTACATAGTATTAGGTAAGAGGATTGAAGGGACCTCTCGTGCAGATCGGTCACGCTGTCGAGCCTCCGTCTTGTTGATGTTGGACATATTCGAATATTTAATAAGTTACTATGGTTGACGAAAAGTTGCTTTCCTCTGTGATTTTTGCCATTAATATTGACTTGTCTTCGACTAGAACCAATCACAGATATTTGATTAATTCTCGAATTAGTGAGTTGACTGAAACGGGCTCCACTATGCATTCCTCTTGTTGGTTTTAAAATGCCAGCCTCCTTACATATGTTCCAGTCATCGAGCAGCACAGGTTTAATGTTTTCTAATTTTCTCTACCAATATCTCATAGATTGCAGTGTAAACCGACTATATGTCAGTACCATAGCGTTATATAGATATTATTACAACTTTAAAACGAGAACTTCGTAGTATATCGGTAATATTTAAAAATTTATAGGAGCTAAAATCAAAGCAGCCATACAGCGCTAATACATATACACAAGACCCAGTAATACAAGTGTGGAAGAGTTAGTTTTAGGAAGTGGCAGTACATTGTTTATTCCTATGTGTCAAAGACAGAGAACAGAAGGTGCAGCTATCCAAGATGCAGTAAATGAGGTTGATCTGTTAGACTGGCCATCTACTGAAGGTAATCTCGTTAATGAATTTAAAACAGATGGTCTAGCAACTATGGCCTTTCCTACATTGTTTCCTTATGGAAAGGGTGGTGACCCTACAAATAGGTCAAGACAACATGGTATGACGTGAACTGAAGCTTTCAAACATTTAATGAAGTTTGCAGAGAGGCTTGCAGATGGTAAGTTTGAATGGAGGTTTGCTTCTCACCCACAGTTTCCTTATTGGGTGTTAAATATGAAACAACAGCATCAGCTGTTGTCACAAGCAAATGTTTACTTGTGTCAACATCCTGCTGATGCAAACATGACAATGGAAGAACTGAAGTAGATGGTTAATTCCATGAGTGTAAACCAAATGATGAATAGGTTGCAACACTATGTGTCCAAAATACAAGGTACGAATCAGTATTGGTATCAGCGGCTGCAGGAATTGCTAGCCCTGATTGAACAAAAAGGCGGCCCTACTTTTTTCTTCACCTTTAGTGCTGCTGACATACATTGGCCAGACTTACAGAGGCTGTTGCAGAAAGATGAAGGTGCAAGCAGATCTGAGCGAGCACAAGCTGTAATTGACAATCCCCACCTAACTGATTGGTTCTTTATGCAGCAGCTGGAGTTTGTCAGACATTGGCTTAATGGTGTCTTGGATGCCGAGTGGCACTGGTATCGATTTGAGTACCAAGCTAGGGGAAGTATTCATTGCCACGGATGTGCAAAGTTAAAAAATGACCCTGATATCAGAAAATTACATAAGGCATGTGTTGCATTCCTAGAGAGTGAGACAACAAGGTACGAAATGTCACCTGAAGATTTTGAATTGCTTTGCGGGGATGTGGATGGTTGTCCAATACAGCAGCATTTCACGACTCGTTACAACTTGTAATGAATGTTTCACAAGTCGTGAAGGACTCTAAGAGTGCAGGAGCCAAGTGGTGAACCTCACAAAATTCATACGACTTGTTAAATCCGTGAAATTTCACGACTTGTGACAACTTGTAAAGAATGTTTCACGAGTCGTGAAGGACTTAAGAGTGCACCAGCCAAGTGGTGAACCTGACGAAATTCGTACGACTCGTTAAATCCGTGAAATTTCACGAGTCGTTACAACTTGTAAGGAATGTTTCACAAGTGGTGAAGGACTTAAGAGTGCAGGAGCCAAGTGGTGAACTTCACGAAATTCATACGACTCGTTAAATCCATGAAATTTCACGACTCGTTACAACTTGTAATGAATGTTTCACAAGTCGTGAAGGACTTAAGAGTGCAGGAGCCAAGTGGTGAACTTCACAAAATTCGTACGACTCGTTAAATCCGTGAAATTTCATGACTCGTTACAACTTGTAAGGAATGTTTCACGAGTGGTGAAGGACTTAAGAGTGCACCAGCCAAGTGGTGAACCTGACAAAATTTGTACGTCTCGTTACAACTTGTAAGGAATGATTCACAAGTCGTGAAGGACTCTAAGAGTGCACCCAGCCAAGTGGTGAACCTGACGAAATTCGTACAACTCGTTAAATCCGTGAAATTTCACAACTCATTACAACTTGTAAGGAATGTTTCACGAGTCTTGAAGGACTTAATAGTCCAGGAGCCAAGTGGTGAACTTCACAAAATTTGTACGACTCGTTAAATCCGTGAAATTTCACGACTCGTTACAACTTGTAAGTGATGTTTCACGAGCCGTGAAGGACTTAAGAGTGCACCCAGCCAAGTGGTGAACCTGACGAAATTCGTACGACTCGTTAAATCCATGAAATTTCACGACTCGTGACAACTTGTAAGAAATGTTTCACGAGTCGTGAAGAACTTAAGAGTGCACCAGCCAAGTGGTGAACTTCACAAAATTTGTACGACTCATTAAATCCGTGAAATTTCACGACTCGTTACAACTTGTAAAGAATGTTTCACGAGTCGTGAAGGACTTAAGAGTGCACCAGCCAAGTGGTGAACCTGACGAAATTCGTACGACTCGTTAAATCCGTGAAATTTCACGAGTCGTTACAACTTGTAAGGAATGTTTCACGAGTCGTGAAGGACTTAAGAGTGCAGGAGCCAAGTGGTGAACTTCACAAAATTCATACGACTCGTTAAATCCGTGAAATTTCACGACTCGTTACAACTTGTAATGAATGTTTCACAAGTCGTGAAGGACTTAAGAGTGCAGGAGCCAAGTGGTGAACTTCACAAAATTCGTACGACTCGTTACTGTCGTTCCAATTGAAGTGTTCCTCAAATATTAATTCAATACATTACCTCGGGCTGACCAATTCATTTCATCAAGTTCCTCGAGATATTCATACACTTCGTGTGAAAGAGCCAATTCCAAGTATTTGATCATTTCTGGTCACTTCCTTTCTATTTATGATTGGTTAGTTGCACAAACAACAAAGGTGATTGGTGCATTCAAACTATTCAACAGGAAGTTTACAATTATACTAGGAAGTGTATGAATATCTCGAGGAACTTGATGAAATGAATTGGTCAGCCTGAGGTAATGTATTGAATCAATATTTGAGGAACACTTCAATTGGAACGACAGTAAATCCGTGAAATTTCATGACTCGTTACAACTTGTAATGAATATTTCACGAGTCGCGAATGAGTTAAGCGTGCACCAGCCAAGTGGTGAACCTGACGAAATTCGTACGACTTGTTACAACTTGTAAGGAATGATTCACGAGTCGTGAAGGACTCTAAGAGTGCAGGAGGCAAGTGGTGAACCTCACAAAATTCATACGACTTGTTAAATCCGTGAAATTTCACGACTCGTGACAACTTGTAAAGAATGTTTCACGAGTCGTGAAGGACTTAAGAGTGCACCAGCCAAGTGGTGAACCTGACGAAATTCGTACGACTCGTTAAATCCGTGAAATTTCACGAGTCGTTACAACTTGTAAGGAATGTTTCACAAGTGGTGAAGGACTTAAGAGTGCAGGAGCCAAGTGGTGAACTTCACGAAATTCATACGACTCGTTAAATCCATGAAATTTCACGACTCGTTACAACTTGTAATGAATGTTTCACAAGTCGTGAAGGACTTAAGAGTGCAGGAGCCAAGTGGTGAACTTCACAAAATTCGTACGACTCGTTAAATCCGTGAAATTTCATGACTCGTTACAACTTGTAAGGAATGTTTCACGAGTGGTGAAGGACTTAAGAGTGCACCAGCCAAGTGGTGAACCTGACAAAATTTGTACGTCTCGTTACAACTTGTAAGGAATGATTCACAAGTCGTGAAGGACTCTAAGAGTGCACCCAGCCAAGTGGTGAACCTGACGAAATTCGTACAACTCGTTAAATCCGTGAAATTTCACGACTCATTACAACTTGTAAGGAATGTTTCACAAGTCTTGAAGGACTTAAGAGTCCAGGAGCCAAGTGGTGAACTTCACAAAATTTGTACGACTCGTTAAATCCGTGAAATTTCACAACTCGTTACAACTTGTAAGTGATGTTTCACGAGCCGTGAAGGACTTAAGAGTGCACCCAGTCAAGTGGTGAACCTGACGAAATTCGTACGACTCGTTAAATCCATGAAATTTCACGACTCGTGACAACTTGTAAGAAATGTTTCACGAGTCGTGAAGAACTTAAGAGTGCACCAGCCAAGTGGTGAACTTCACGAAATTCGTACGACTCATTAAATCCGTGAAATTTCACGACTCGTTACAACTTGTAAAGAATGTTTCACGAGTCGTGAAGGACTTAAGAGTGCACCAGCCAAGTGGTGAACCTGACGAAATTCGTACGACTCGTTAAATCCGTGAAATTTCACGAGTCGTTACAACTTGTAAGAAATGTTTCACGAGTCGTGAAGAACTTAAGAGTGCACCAGCCAAGTGGTGAACCTGACGAAATTCGTACGACTCATTAAATCCGTGAAATTTCACAACTCGTTACAACTTGTAAGGAATGTTTCACGAGTCGTGAAGGACTTAAGAGGCGTTGTCTGCAAGAACGGTCCAGCAAATTCTGACTCAATTTTCGTTTGGCTTCATAATATATCTATAACTTCCTTGATGTATCCTGATTCTTGTCCAAACAGTGATTTCTTGAAAATTGTCTTAATTTTTTGTTTACCCTCAAATATGTTTGACATGTTCAGGAATCCAACATGGCGCTCATGATTAGGACGGATATTTGCAATTTTTCTAACTTTGCGCTGAAGTCGTGCGAGGGTCTACAGAACATGTAACCATATTTTTTTATTGAATCATGTATGTTCTTTTCACAAAAGTAATAATAAGCCAAATATCTATTTGGAACCGGCGATTTTAGTGGCAGTAATATTTGCCCCATTGCAGTCCGTCATTCATAGACAGAAAACCTAATGGATTCCACAAGGCATAGTAAAAAAGTGGATTGCTTCTGAAATTTAATTCCTATTAAAATATGTAGATGAATAGCTAAGTTATTCATACCAAATCAGAAAAGTTTTGGTCAAACTCATTTTCCACAACAAAGGAAGGAGTCTTTATGACGCAAATCGTCTCTACTGCATGGGCGGGCTAACATTTATGAGATCGTGTTCTGGCCACTATTTCTTGTTAATTCTTGTGTTAAGTTTACTGGAGAACAATGCTGGTCCATTTAGTTAAAATTACACTTTGTGTGACAGAATTTTGTAAACTGGAGATGGATATTTTTCCATACAAACGCAATTAGGAGGCAATACATCCCCATTCGGTGGTCACCTGTCAATTAAAACTTCTGCAACAAATCAATTATGTTTGTGTTTAAAGAAGGCGTTTTATAACTTTTCCTTAATCTATTATTTATTAAATAAAATGTATTCAGTCACTATTATTAGAAAGTAGTTTGTATTTGAAATGTCTGAAATATATTTGTAGTTTTGGCTTTTGTTTATAATATGCATATTTCGGTGGTAATTAAAAGTGTTGTCGATTTCAATGTATCTTTTAATATCCGGTTTCAATAACTGATTCAGTGTAAATAACACAGCACTTTCGTTGCTTGGCATGCTTTTCCTTTTCCTAAGTGAGAGAGACCAAAAACTATGTGGAGACTCTCGAGGGCTGAGTGAGATATGTCGGCTTTCTTTATGCAATGATAGTGTGTGGCGACACCTCGAAAGCGTGCACATTTCTGGACAAATCATTTCTGAAGTAGAACTGATTCTCGCTAGAGTTGGAATGTTATATGTAACAAAAGATGAAATAGGAAAAATGGAAATATGTTCCTATCACAGGCACAAGTTTGGAAGATTTTGGAGGCCATCTATAAACGTTTGTGTTATCACCCAACCCACACAGGAGCTCGAAAATCCATAAAGGGCTCTGATGCTATTAATAGCTTGCAAATGTGCAAAGATGTGCAAAAACAGTATGGGGTATTTGTAGCTCTCGGAGCACATAAGTGATTAATATTGATTTTGAGTTTCTGGATTAAGGGCCTGTATACGGAGTGTCAGTTGTATTCATGCTTGTCCAGATCTCCGCAAATCGATTGCATTATTATAATCCATAGTCTTTATTGTTTTACAGGTATTTGCTCACAAAACAAATGTAGGCTAGGTAAAGAGGAAAATGCCTGGTTAAGAAGCGAAAGCCATTCTGCAGAAAGTCCAGAGGTATTGACCCACTATGCGAGGTATAAATAAAACATGCATGGTGCCTGGTAAATTATAGCAGCAAACATAAAACTATAGAATAAATTTTACTCATCTCAAGATGTCTTTTAAATGTTTTCGTTTTATTTCCAACTTTGAGTTCGTTTTACATACGAACCAAAGACCATTTAACAAATATAGAACATTTTCCGTGTTGATATACAGTTATATCAACATGAGTGGAAATTTACCCTGGATTCCAGAGCCTTCAGTAAAATTTCCACTCGTGTTGATACCTCGTATATTGGGTCAATACCTCTGGACTTTCTGGAGAACGGCTTTCGCTTCTTAACCAGGCGTTTTCCTCTTTATCTAGCCTACACTTGTTTTGTGACTCTTACGGCATGCAGCTAGAGCAAATACCTGTAAAACAAAGACTATGGATTACAATAATGCAATCGATTTGCGGAGATCTGGACAAGCATGAATACAACAGACACTCAGCCAAAAAACATTGTTACGTAAAACATTCCGACTCTAGCGAGAATCAGTTCTACTTCAGAAACGATTTCTCCAGAAATGTGCAAGCTTTCGAGGTGTCCCCGCACACTATCATTGCATGAAGAAAGCCAAAATATCTCACTCAGCCCTCGAGAGTCTCCACATAGTTTTGGGTCTCTCTCACTTAAAAAACATTTGCCAGACATGGTTAAAGAGAATAAAGGAAAACCATGCCAAACAACGAAAGTGCCGTGTTATTTACACTGAATCAGTTAGGGACGGACCATTAGAAAAGTGATGGGGGGGGGGTCCATTTCCAACATGTACGATCATTTTTTTTAAATTATTTGCTTGTGTCGCTAATTTTTTTTTTACTAATCCTTGCTCGAAGAGGGGGGGGGGGCATTTTTCCGGACATAAAAATTTTTTCAGGACATAAAAAAAGGGTCAAAAAATTTTTACGTACTAACATCAGTTCATTTAAAGGTTCAAAAAACATTTTCCCTGAAAAATTTTACTTAAAACATGCTTTAAACACGTTTTTTGCACCAATATCTGCA